TGTGTCTTTTGTTTAAATCTTGCCATGTCCATTAGGGTAGAGTCTTTTTCTTACGCAATTGCAGCTTATTGGGAGAGCTACTGTGGTTTTTTTTCCTTGTCTGTTTCAAAGCTATTGAAAACATCTGAACATACCTCCTAATGGCTGTCTAGATTTTACTGCCACACATTTTTTTAAAAAATTAAGATGTAATGGATTGTGGAAGCTGGTGAAGAACTTTATACTTCACTGTGGTGAGATATTAAACGGATTACGCAGTCTCAAAATAGTGAAGAGTATGCTTAAAAGTCATATTATTATGCTAAAACGATAGACTTTATCTGCCTTGTTTCAAAAGTACTATAGACACTAGAGATACTTTTGAAATTTAAAGTAATCTTCAGAATTAAACCTACTCTTTTTGTAGAGATTCCATGATTACAAACAAATAAGAATAAAATCTATTTCCACCAGAAAGAAAAAAAATCATGTCTCCCTATATACCCGTTTCCTATTGGAACTGTAATTTTATGGGTATCTGGAAGTAATTATTAAAATGTTTTCCTCTGTGATCATAATGGTTTGAAAGAAAAATAAGTGGCTAAAATGTTTTATACTACATTAACAATGAAGTTAGTTATATCAGAGTTAATATTTAAAATAATTTTATTAAATTTTGCACTAAGCCCAACTGCAAATCTTCACAATTTTGATTCAGCACTCCATTTAAACTTTTCAAACCCAAATCATTCTTAATTAATGAGGAGAAGTAGCAAATCTAGTTAGTAATTAATAAACAAAACTATTTTCCTAATAGAAGAAGAATCCCAGTCATTAATTTGTTGCCTAGACATTGTTCAACTTGAGACCATTACAGAAAGTGTTTATAGACTAAAAAGGCTTTACAAAAACCAACAGTGTCCTTCATAGGTTTAAGCACGCATTGCCAAATAGTTGCAGAATACAAACAGCGATAGTGAGTGGATTGCACGGGCACCCTTATCATAAACTAAACAAGAACTACCTGAATTAATCAGGTGAAGTGTAAAATTTCTAAGTGGCAGCAGTTATTACCTAAATGAGATTTCTCTAAAGATCTTTGTATGAAAGCAGCAAACAAGGAAAACACATTCAACTTGAGGGCTTTTTCCTCCACATTATCAATCTAGGGCTCCAGTTCTCTCAAGGTTAGCCTTTAGCTCTGTCCCCACCATCTGTCAGCTGCAGGAACTGCAAGTAATTAGCTATTCAGACTCCCACAGCAATGAGGACACTCATTAGCAAAATGAACAAAGGGATAGTTCTGTGCTGCTACGGTCATCTGTTACACTCTGAGTGGCAGGTTTTGTGGTAGTGTTCCTCCTACCATCTGCCCACAACACTAGTTTTGGCTTGCTTAAACCATGAGACTTCTTTAAAATAAACTGCATTAATAAAACAAGGTTAAGAAGGAAGGAAATCATTAAAAGGTGGTTAACTCTATGTAGCTATTTAAAGCCACATAATACTCTAAGAGAGATTGTGTGTGATCTAGGATCATTCTGGAATTTTAAATTTATAAAGGAACTTGCCAATTTAAAGTTTTTCTAGCACATTGTGAAAATTAGTACTTCAGGTGGCTTGACTAAATATTAACTGCTTCTTGTTACCTAAATATAGAATGACTATTGGGCCCAATTGGCTTATGAGTTATTTCTCTTGGGAATATTCACAAGATGTGCAGAACCGCTGTTCCTGAGTTTCAGAACTGCAAATCCAATGCTGAAAGAATCATTTCTGGAAAAAGGGTGTACTCAAGAGCCTTGTTACTCAAAGTGTGGTCCATGGACCAGGAACCTCAGCATCATCTGGAGGCTTGTTAGAAATGCAGACTCTCAGGCCCCACTCTAGACCTACTATATCAGAATCTGTATATGAACAAGATCCCCAGGTGATTCATATGCCCAGGAAAGTCTGAGAAGTACCGGTTTAGAGCACTTCATGTGACTTCTCAGCAGTTCCCCTTCTGTGGGGACTGGCGTCTTAATTCTGAAGCCTCCTTGTAGAGTACTTAGACATCTCAATTTGATACTGGGGGTGGAGTAGGGTTCTGATGCATGCCCATGCCTTGTGACAGTCACGGAGGAGAGCAGGTGCTTTCCCAATGAGTGACAACCAAGACAGTGGCACACTGGGGCAGTGCAGCCCTGCAGAGCTGCCACTCTTGATAACAGCTCTGTTTGGAGCTGTCAGCAACTAGCAGATATGTTCACCCATGGAGGGTGGGTGGGTGATGGTGCACAGCTTATCCAAGTGGGGTAAGAAAGAAAAATGAAAAGTGTATTCAAAATGACAACTCCACTTGAAATTAAAATATATGCGTGCGCACACACACGCACATACACACGTTGACAGGCTAACCTCCCTTATATTCTCAAAGGGCTTTATCAACATACAGCAAGGGAGTTTGATAACTATAGTGTTGTGCAGTTAAGTTGCGTTAGTTTCCCATAGAACAAAACCTGAAAAGCTCTTCCGCTTTAATGAAGTTGCTCTTGGGGAAAATGCAGCATTACGTTATATTCTGATCTGAACAGTTTCTTTTCCTGATTTCCATTTTGTTGTAAAGAGCATTTAAAGTAGCTGTTTATTAAATTATATTAAACCTTCCCTTTCCTATTAGATTCTTGTCAGATTTCTTTCAGAAACAGTCTGGGAGAGATATTCTACTTACTAACTCTAAAGTTATTTATGTAATTTGATTATCAGAATAAACTAGATCTTTGCTGCTGTTTCCTCGATTTGTTTATTTCAAGTTTTTTCAAATTATTTCCATTGTTACTTTGAAATTTTCAAATTGTTTCTCCAAATTCTGTTTTCCAACTCTAATTTCAGATACTTGGGGATGCAGCGTCTTTATACCACTAGAGGGGGCAGTTGTATAAGATGAACTTTCAAATCAAAAGACACTATCGTCTAGAACTTAAGTGGCACGGAGTTATATGAAAACTTATTCTTAGAGGATTAAAACAGTATTTTCCATAGGCTTATTTTATATAAACCATGATCTGCTTCTGTGGCACTCATGTCTGTGCTCTTGAAATGTACATGAGTACTGCTCTGCCTTGGTTTCACATTTTGTTGGGGTCCATAGAAACTGGGAGAAACCTATTTACCTAGTTAATCAAAAGTACCTTATTTTACTCAAATCTTAGGGTGTTTATAGAAATTGTGATGTGGTCTCCTTGGGGAAATTTATAGTGGAATAACTAGGTTATTTTGGATGCCAACCTTGAGCAGAGAGCACCTGATTATACATGGACAGGGGAGCCTCTCGCTTACTGTCTCTCAAAGACTTGGCCATCCTCTTTCTTCTCCCCATGATATCCAGACAGGCCAGGTAACAGCTTTAGGAGAACACATAGAAGTGTAAACAGTTCAAGAAAGGTCTCATGTTTTAGCGTAAGGAGTTCAATTACTGAATCAGGATGCTCTCGATGGTCCAGAGGTCTGTGTTCACCTATGGAGGGTGGTGGGTGATGGCTGCATGGCTCATCCATGTTGAGTAAGAAAGAAAAATGAAGTCTACTCAAAATGACAACTCCACTTGAAATTAAAACATACGTGTGCACATGCACACACACTTTTATGGAATGTAAACCAGATGGTCATAAGGGCTTGTGCATTTTCTCATAATGATAACTAGAATTCTATATATGAATTTTTTTTTAAAGAGCACAAAGCAATTGCCATTCAATACAACAGGTATCCTTATAATAACCCTTTACCTTAGTTAAGCAGGTATCACTTTCCATTTCACAAATGCAAAATAAACAGATCAAAATTGCCTTGCCACATCGATGCAGAACATCTTTGGCCAAGGCAGGATTAAAAGCAAAGCTACTACAGCTTTTTTTTTTTGCTTTTTCTATTAAGCTATTTTCTTCAACAGATTGAGTGGTTGTAGGCCTAGGAAAAGGTTACAGAAAAGTAAATGCAAAAATAGGATGTGCCGCCTACTCTAAAGCAATCAGAACATATAAAAATAATTAATATTCAATCTTATTTGATCTAAGTTTATGATCCTTAATACTGAATTGCTTAGAAAGTGCCCAGTTTTTTCAGAACATGAAAAATTTGAATACATTAACAAAGCAAACACTACTTTACAAACTGGTAAACAAGGTCCTTTAGAATGCTACTTCATCAATTCCTTGTCTCTTATAAACTTGAGGTTTTAAATAAGAATACTAGTTTGATATTTAGATAAACAATAGATTGCAATTAAAGGGACCAGCAACCCCTAAGTGTTTCTTAATAGTGTTAATATCTTGATGTATAACTTCCCAGACTTTTTCTGTGCACATATAGGCACATGTCAGTATTTACATGTATACATATACACACATGAATCAATTATATATTATCATAATATAATTGATAATATACACACACACACATTAATTACAACCTTTAACTCTTATGCTAGAGCATAAAGCTCCATCTCATGTGGGATTTGGAGTCAGATGAACCTCAGTTCAAGTCCCATCTCTGCCATTTACTAGCTGTGTGCCCAGTGGAAGTGACCTAGCCACCCTGTCTCTGCTTCCTCATCTGTAAGCTGGGCCGTGAGAATCAGGAGTCCATCGATGAAGCACGTGGCACCTGCTAATTAACATTCAGTAGACTCTTATTCCTTCTGGGTCCTGGCATTTCCACTAGTCTCTCTTAATCAAGCAATCAGCTTCTTGTTCTTAGAACCTTATTAGAATTAAACTATTTACATGCTGGTGGTGCAGCGGTTAGAGCAGTCGCCTGTTAACCAAAAGGTCGGTGGCTCAAAACCACCAGCGGCTCTGGGGGAGAAAGATGTGGCAGTCTGCTTTCATAGAGATTTACAGCCTTGGAAACCCTATGCGGGCTGCCATGAGTTGGAATCGATTCCTTGGCAACGGGTGTTTCAACGGGTTATTTACATGTTCTTCTCCAGTGGGAAAACTTTTATAGTGAAAGATATGTTATTTTACTTCCGTTATAAATTAAATACTGAGAACAATTAAATGGCTCCAATTTAGAACTCTTATGGGTGTTTTAGAATGTGCCATTTAGCAGAAAAGTATTGGACTGGCTTTGTTGTAAAGAGCAGAGATGCCTAAGATGCATCCACTCAATATACTTTATTCTTTACCCAAGCTTCTAGATAGTTGTAAGTATATTCACATATGCCAACATTGACTATTTTTTACCTTGAAATGTATAAGTTTTGGAAAACTATTTTCTTCATATTGTTCTAGTTCTTCTGTTAAATCCTTAATAATTTGTTCTTTTTCTTTCAGTTTTCTTAACAAAACATTCATTTTGACAACATTTGAGTCTTGCATAGAAGTCTTCTCTTCTTCCACCTCAAAAAATTGCTGGGGAGAAAAAGCAACATTGAAAAGTCAGATTCTGAGCTAGCTTCACCATAAACCATTAAGTGTTTTGTCTATGCTGTTGTCTCCTAAAATTATTTTTGGAACTAGTATATAATTTTAAGTAAATAACTACAGGTATACTGAAAGATATACAGCACAGTACTATATTCCATAAAACATAAAGTATGATATATTTCTCTAACAGCCATGCAAATAATGATATTAGCAATCTTAATAGTAAATTCACATCATGATTTATGAATCATGGACGTTTGTGAATCATTTATGAATGTCCTATTTCAATCACCTTCGAAAAGGGATGAGTACAAAATTTTTCAATGTGTAAAAAAGATACGGTAAAAATGGAGTAAATGTCAATCTTACAACTGATTCCCTCAACGGTTTAGAGTGGAGATGAGGGAAGAAAGACGTGCCTGTTTTAAGCATTTAAGTGCTTCCCCATTTGCAGCCATTACTCTGAAGAACTGTATCCCGAACACGAAACAAGAAAGTTGCTTTACAAATGGATGCTGTTACTTACTTCCAGCAAATAAAAAAATCTCATTTTCAACAACACAAAACAAGAAAGGTGCTTTACAAATGGATGCTGTTACTTACTTCCAGCAAATAAAAATCTCATTTTCAACATGCAAAACCACATTATCCATTTTTGACTCTTTTAGAAATTATAGGAGAATCGTTTTATTTCTATTATTTGTGTATAAGTAATGCATTTGGGCATACACCCATACAGGAAACATAGTAAAACCTAACAACATCTGCTAAAATACTGAAAATATTTCAAAGAGATTTACACATTAAAAATGTGCCAATATTATATGATCAATATTGGTAAACTGAGAACAATAGAATATTGAGGTAGAATAGAGTTAGCGTTAGTAACGTAACACTGACATCTACACCACACTAAAGAAAAAAATTAGTATGTAACTATGCAATAGAATTTTAAAAAGTGAAAATCTATGTGACAATATCAGCTATTTAAACTTAATGATTTTAAAGAGCAGTATTGACTATGTAGATTATATCACATCTATCCTTATCAATGCCTACAGCTGAAACATTCTGCTGAGCTCAAGACGCATTTATTCCACTAGTGTCCCAGATATTACCAGGACATCTCAAATTCAACACGTACAAACCGAGCCCAGCATCTTCACTGTCATCCTTTCTGCCTTCCCTGATTAATCGTAGCACAAGCCAGAAACCCAGTACACCTTCTCCTCACTTATCGACTATCTCGTTATCCAACATTTTGCATTTACGGGACAACAGTAAAAAATCAACTATCCAACTATTTTGCGTGTTAACAACGTACATCTGGCAGTAACGAATGCCGAGTTGGGAGGCAAGAATAACGCTGTGATGTTTAAGGTAATGTGTCAGCTTAGTTGAGCCATGATTCTCAGTGGTTTGGCAGTTATGTAATCATGATATTTGGCAGTTTTGTAATGACATAACTTGGCAGTTATGTAATGATGCAGTCATCCTTTTTGTGATCTGATGTAGTCATCCTCCATTTTCACATAACACAGATTTCACATAATTATCTGGTCTTTGGAACGTAACCATGTTGATAAGTAAGGAGAGGGTGTAGCCATCTTAAGCTCTTTCCTCTCCCTCACTAACTCACCAAATCTATTCAACATATCCCTAAATTTCTCCCAAACCCATCACCTCCTCCCGTATTCTACTCCATCTTCATCCTTGCCTTGTTCACCTGGACTATTGCAATAGCCTCTTAACTAGCCTCCCTGCCTCTCACTTTGCCCTCTCCATCCAGTCTCCACACCATTACCAAAATGATCTTTCTAAGATGCAACTCTGTCTCCTACGGGGTAAAGTTCAATCCCCTCATCATGGTGTACAAAAGGTCCTTCATGATCTGGTGTCAGCCTGCCTTGCCAGTAACTCCTGCATCTTTTCTCCCTTTCCCCCACCCTAACTGGGCATGTGATTTCCCAGAAACACCATGTGGCCACAGGTCTCTAAGCCTTTGCTCTTGCAGTTCTTAGTTACCTAACAAGCTCTTACTTGTCGACTTTACAGAGTGGCATTAGAGCAGGATAGCCTAGGTCTGCAGATGAGCTCTGCCACTTGATAGCTTTGTGCCTTGAACTAGTTTCTTGAACTCCCAGTAAAATGGGACTGACAAGAATAGTACTTGAATTGTTGTGAAAAATAAGATAATGCATGTAAACAACTTAGAATCGTGTTTACAACACAGTCAGCCCCAATAAATACTATATCTAACCATTTATTATTATTGTTATTATTTGACACTTAAACCCAGATGCCACTTGCTCTGAGAAGCCTCACAACCACTCCCGCCCCCATCTTCCTCCTCTGTTCTTTCTATATCTTGTAAACACTCATCCTGAGTCACTTTGTTTGTTTACTCACTCACAGACTAATTTTTATGTTCTGAATATTATGGATTAATTTTACTCTTAAAAAAAACAACAAAATAAAGATTTCACGATAGCGCAGAGATCAATGTTCTAAAAAGTACTGAGAAAGTGGTGAAGCTGTTGAGGTAGTGATGCTTCTGCCAAGCTGGCTAAGTCATTCCCTTTGTAATAGAACACGAAATCACCTCTGGGGAACCAATTTAAAATCCCACCTAGGCCCTGGACAGAAATAATGCACAAATACAACAGCGCTCAGGCCAGCCTTCATCAAGGGTGGACTCAGCACCTCTGGACTTTAGTGCAGGGAGCCTGATCCTTTGGAAGAACCAAAAGTTTCATTTTTGACATTTCATCGTTTTAATGGATTCATTTCTTTGCCACCCCTTCAAATTTGTTCTCTGGTCTCTGGTCTTGTGCTTCTCACCTCTTAGAATAAATCTCAGGAAAGTGCCACAGCTTTTTTTTTTTTTTTTTTAAACTTTTAGATAACAACTACAACAGAAAATAAAAGAAAGATAGGAAGAAAGCAAAAGCCAAAATCATCGTCATCATCATCATCCCAGTCCAGTCAACTCTTACCATTAACCAGCTCTGGCGTTCCTCAGGCTTAGCAGCCTGCAGTAGAGGAGAGGGGTTGTGGCTGGCTTCCTTTTCTTTCTACAATTTGAGTTGCTCCCATGGTCAGGTGCAGAGGAGGAAGAAAAATTAAGGAGACAGAAACAAGTCTCAATTGACAGAGTAGTGACCTGGTGCCTTTGGTTCCTGGGAGACCCCCTGCTGGCTCCTCTGAATGCAGACCCCTCAGTAGAAGTAGTACCTTTTCCCTGTCTCCTGGCCTAGAGTCCACCCTTCTGTTTGAGTTGACTCACCTCTCCAGGTGGTTCTCATCAGCTGGCTTCCTTTGGTGATGCCCGTATCTGCTCGTTTGGAAACACAGACCTTTGTCCTGCCTGTGATGGAAGGATGATGGCAGTGCAGTTTGCTTCCATAGAAGACCCACCTTCTCTGCTTGGTCAACTCTCTCATCTTTAGATTTTTTCCTGGCAAGTCCCACACCAGTCCTCATGTGCCTCAAACTCAGAGACTCATGTCAGGCTCTCCAAGTGGTTCTCTTCAAGATTCCTCTCTCTCTTGGCATGGGGAGGAAATACTCCCTTCCTCTCACCTATTTAACAACACAGCATACTGACTACTCTCCCTGAAACAGCCCTCCTGACCAGCCTCTTCCATTCCCAAATATAATTAAATATACGATTTTTCTTATTGGCCTGAAGATGGGTGACAGGTTAATGCTGGCCCATTAGCCAGTTTCACAAAGTCATAGTATGTCCTGCTTTGATGCTCCAGCACTTAGAATATGAAGATGTTATCATCTAGTATTTTGTTCTTTCCCTTTGGGGCTTCAGATGAAATCAAGACACCAAGAATCAGATTTTAACACATCATTAGAAGATGGTTTACTAAAAAACTTACTAAATTTCTAGTTCCAATTCCACCCTGTTCATGTGACCTCTTCTCCTCCATTGAAGTTCTTCCTGTCACCTAGAGGTGAAAGCGGCAATTGGCATCCAGATCCTAGGACCTGAGTAGAACCAAGTCCAGCGAGGCTAGCACAGTTCACTTTATCAGATACAGAAGTTCTAGAATCCAGCTTGGGTTCAGCAGCAATGTCAAAAAAGTGTTGTTACTGCCTGGTGTTCAAGGGAGATTGTTTTGGAATTTCAATGGTCTCATCAACCTTTTAAAATAAAATTTCCATATTTAGTGTTATCATTTCCATCAAAGTGGTAGTATGCAATTCTCAAACCAGGGAAAAATTATGAACACTTAAATTTGGCTGTGACCAAACTCATCAAATGAGAAGCAAGTCAAATTGCTTGCTTCAAAAGCCAACTGAAGAGCACACGGACTCTGAAGTCAGAATGCCTGGGGTTGAAGGCTAGCTCTGCCACTTGATTGTTATGTCACCTTGGACAAGCTACTTAACCTCACTGTGCTTCAGGTTCTTTCCTATCAAATGAGAATATCAACAATACAAGGACTAAATGCGTTAATATTTGCAAAGTGCTTAGAATAGTGCCCAGCGCATAGTTATTGTTATATTAATATTTGTAAAGAATAGAATGTTGATACAGAAAATTTCTGTCACTATTACTGCCAAAAAGCTATTCTGTATTTTTCTCAGTGCATCATATCAGGAGGTCCTCAGATGTTGATATGTCCCATTATTGGTGGTGTTAACTTTTATCATTTAGTTAAGATGGTGTATGTATCAGGTCGCTCCACAGTAAAGTTAATTAACAAGTCTGTATTAATTAATTTTAACATTAATTAAATTTTAATAAATTAATTTTGTATTTCTTAATTAATAAGGGGCTATTAAGCAATTGGGACCCCTGATGGCGCAGTGGTTAAGAGCTCGGCTGCTAACCAAAAGGTCGGCAGTTTGAATCCACCAGCCACTCCTTGGAAATCCTGTGGGGCAGTTCTACTCTGTCCTATAGGGTCGCGATGAGTTGCAATTGGATGGAAGGCAACGAGTTTGTTTTTTTTATTAAGTATTTATAC